TGCAGTTTCATTCGACCTCCTTTTTAGGAAGGATTGGCGATCTCGCTTATACTGCTGGTCAGCGGTTACAACTCTATCATCGAACAAACTGGGAGCATTGACTGAAGGACCGGGTCGAAATTTCTGCCTCCCTTTCCCATCTCTCCCAGTACGTCGATTGCCATCAGCAGCAAATGCACCTGCAGCTTCATCTGCGTCATCAGGGTCTAAATCATCTAGTCCCGTGGTTGCGTGGGCATCGCGGGGTGGAGTGTCAACCTGAGACAGTCTTGGTTCCCATTCGACAGGAGGAGGACCTGGTTTGTAGCTAGATCGAGAAGCCTGTTCTTGTACATAACGGACATAACTGTCAAATGATTTAGTCTGGTCTATGACACTCAACTCATGAACACCTGAGTTAGGATTAGACTGAGTTACTAATGAGTATGAGTGCTGATTTGTCAGGATAGTCGAAAGTTCGAGCATGGATGACAGAAATGCATCTTCACTATGTGAGGCTTCAATTTGCCTCTGTCGAACTACTGGGATAATAAACTGGTGCATGTGTAGCCTAAGTAACCTATCATACAAGACAGCTTTTCGAGCTGCAAGGTTGTAGGTTGCAATACGATTCTTAAGACAGTCGAGTATAGTGCGGATGGATAGAATAAACCGGAGAAGACAGTGTCCATTTGAAATGTCGTAGGTAAGCATGTCAAGTTGAATCTCCATCTCTCTACATTCTGTGGATGTGTCGACACCATTTAAGTTGATTATCTGGTGCCAAACGTGATAAAGGAGGCCATTACCTGCACTTGGATGCCTGGCGAGACTCATCATGGTTTCAAACTGAAGATTAGTAGAGGTTAAATTAGTCTCATCTCCTCTGTAGAATTTGAGAAGAGCAATGGCTGCACTTAGCACATTGTGTAGGTGAAGAGAGCGGGTCATGTACCTGCCATAGTCGACTCGTCCAGATCGGACATCTTTCCATGGATCTCTCCTATATTTGTACAGGTTTTCATCATTTGGATCCCTTATGCCAAGAAGCTGATCTTGGATCATCTTGAGTGCAGCTACTGCTGTTTTTCCTAACTCGTAGACTGAAAACTTGGTGTACAGGAGTTCACCTGTCCGGCCGCCTTCTGTTTGGTATTGTGGGGTCTCCATGAGGTAGCTTACTGCTCTCTCATGGTACAATGTAATGAATTCTATGCCATACAGGTAGCCTTCCCAGGGAAGCAACAGGTCTTCAAAGTACGGGAATGAGACTGATTTCTCCTGCCAAAGACGCAACTGCAGTGAGGGGTTTACTTGAGGGTTAAAAACAATGTCATTGTCAGCAGCTTTGCCTTCAAAGAATATGAGGTGCCTAGGAAATGAACTGCCGCTGTAAGCATTCGGATCATTGTCTTCCATTGAACCTGCACCTGCAGGAGGCGGAGTATCTCCTGGTGGGTCGCTACCAGGCGTTTTGGACTTAGATATTACACCTGCTACTATAGTAGCAAGTGCTTCGATAGGCTCACTAGATGCTGGAGTCTGAGGTGAGGAGGCTGAAGTCTGTATCTGATCGTACTTGCTCTGGAGCTTGGCCAACCTCCCATCAGTAGTAGTGAGCTGTTGGGTGACTTTGCCGAGGTCATCGGCGGATACCATCGATAGTTGATCTTTATTTTCCAACATGGTGCCCAGGATGAGAGACTTTAAGTCGTCTTTATGTTCATCTATCAGACCAGGGCCTGAGAAAAAATCTTTCTGCTTCTTGAGTTTTTCCTCTGTTTTGTCTGCCCTAACACTTAAGCTATCTAATGATGAAGTGACAGTGTCTAGCTTCAGTTCCATTCTGTCAATTTTGTCGCTAGAGTCCTTAATCGCTTTGAGAATGCCTGCCAGAGTCGCAGCATTCTCAGCTGCTTTTTCTGCTTTTTCTCTGGCATCTGCTTCTGCCTGAGCTGCTGCCCTGGCTACCTCTGCCTGGGCTGCTGCCGCGGCTGCCGCTCTAGCGTCGGCGTCCAATTGCTCCAAGCTCGGATCCATTCTCCCCCTGCAATTGAGCGCGGGGAAAGAGCGCAAATGAGAAGCGAACGAAAAGAATGCGTGAGGTCTACGCAGAGAGACCGAGCGCTGGGTCCCAAACCTAACGAGATAGTAAACTCCGACACGGGGAGGCAGCCTAGTGGGGCTGCCCTGCCGTGTGAGGGTGAACTATCGAGGTTACGCAGTGGCGGTACACCGGCGTCTCTGTTATCCTCACGTCACCTCAGCTGCCGTAGTGTACGGGGGCTGGGGCTACTGGACGAACGGGCAGAGGATCTGCCTCACTAGGTCCAGGAAGACTCTCCGTCTATTACAGTGCGGGAAGCAGCTATAACAGGGTTAGAAAGTATTAAGGAGGGGAAGGAAATTGAGTGGCTCTGTACCAGCGAGCCACTAGGGAGATACAAAACTCTCTATCTCTCTAGCCGCAGCGATGAATGCGGCGCTGGCATGAGTAGACCATGCCGCTCCCTTACCCCCGCGTGAGGTCATAACTTCCCCCAGGCGAGGGATTAAGGGACAGGAGATCTCTCCGCCAGGGGAGGGGCGTGGTCTACTCAGGTCAGAATGCGGCGTGTCGCAGATGAAGGCGGGGCCGCACCGTGAGTAGACGTCGACTTCTTAAAGTCTTATCAAGACTACCTCCCAACTTTACCCAACTTTTTGTGCCACAAGACTACCTCCTAAGACTTACCTCCCCTTGCCACGCTGTTATGCTGCGTCGCTGTTCAGCGTAGCTGTCTGTAGGGCCAGCTCATGCGGGCATGCGGGTCTTGGCTCTTCTCGCGACGATCGCCGCAGCGCAAGACTGCCTCCTGACGCTGCAAGTGGACGGCGTGACTCGGTCGATCGATGCGCGCGCGACGATCGAAACTCTCCGCTCGTTCGCGCGCGGCGCGGTCCTGCGCGGCGCCGGCTGCGGTGACGACGAGTCGTGCATCCTAGACGTGCTCGCAGGCGCGGCGGCCGCGGCGCGAATGGCGTGTCCCCGCGCCGACGCCGATGCGGCGGCGGGCGTCGACGTCCCCCCGGGCTTTAAGCCACGCATCTTCGACGTGCTCACGGGCGCACCCGGCCTCGAGCCCCTCTTCGAGGTGCCCGACATGCCGCTCTACATGGCGGCGGCCGCGCCGGGTACGGCCGCGCGCGACGACTCCAAGGCGGCGCTGCGGTTCTGGTGGTCGCCGGCCACGGGCAGCGTCCAGGTGCACCCGCTCGCGCCCCTCGAGGAGGTCTACGCGCGGCAGCACACGGCCTCCATCGGGAGCCTGTGGCCGAAGCACCACGCGGCCTTCGCGGACTTCATCACGCGTCGGCGGCCGCGCCACGTGCTCGAGGTCGGCGGCGGGCCCGGCGACCTCGCGAAGCAGCTCGCGGGGCGCGCCGTCGAGCGGTGGACGCTCGTGGACCCGCGCGCGACGTGCCCCGAGCTCGAGGGGCTGGACATCGTCCGGGCCTTCTTCGACGACGTCGACGAGGGCGCCCTCGAGCCCGTGGACGCCGTCGTGCACTCGCACCTCTTCGAGCACCTCTACGACCCGCGCGCGTTCCTCGGGCGCGTCGCGCGGCTCCTCAAGCCCGGCGGCCGCATGCTCTTTAGCGCGCGTGGCCGCGCCCCGGACGCGCGGCGCGCGCCGAGCGGCCGCGCGCATCAGGTGCCCAACATGACGGGCGCACTCAAGACGTCCACGCAGCCCTCGCTGCACTGGGAGCACACCTGGCTGGTCCACGAGGCCTACGTGCGCTGGCTCCTCGCGGACTTTGGGTTCGAGGTGCGCGACACGCTCGCGTTCGGCGGCGCGCACTCGGTCTTCTACGACGCCGAGTCCTCAAGCGGCGCAAAAAGACCGAAATAGAGGCGCGGAGCGTTCGATCCCAGGTACGTGGGTCCCCTCCCCAGGGGCGCGGGCCCGCCGCCGTGCCTCGGCACGCAGCTCGCGGACCTGGTGCTCGCGTGGAAGGCCGGCCTCGACGCGGACGCGGCCCGCTTCCAAAGGGCCGCGAAGGCCCACGGCGGCGACGCATTCGTCTTCGCCGCGCACGTGGGCTCGCAGTACCTCCTCCGGACGGGGCTCGACGAGGGCCTCCTGCGGGGCGTGCTGGACAACAACCCTGCGCGCGCAGGCCGGCGGCTCGCGGGCTTCCGCCTGAGCACGGCGCGGCCGGCCGACGTCCTGACGAACGCGACGCGGCCACTGGTACTCCTGCGCCAGGGCGTCTACGATGACGAGATCGAGGCCGACCTGAGGCGGGCGCGCGACGACGTCGAGGTCCTCCGCGGCGAACCGCCGGCGCCCGTCGCCGGTTCGAGGGTCGTGCGCGCCGCGGGGGACGACCGCGGGCGCTACGCGGCCCTGGGCGCCCTCGCGCGCGCCTGCGGTTCGCGAGCCACGCCGCGGGGCCCGACCCGGTACGCCCGGCTGCCCCCGCCCGTGGGGCTGCGAGTCGCGGAGGTCGTGGGCGGTGCCGTCGTCGTCGAGGGTTTCGAACCGGCGCCCCACGGCGGCTTCAGCAGCGCCGAGGCCTCGGGCCTCTTCGAGGTCGGAGACGTCGTCACGGGCGCGGCGCCCGCGACGGCGCATCCCCACTACGCGGCCGAGGCGGCGGCGGCGGGACCCGCGACCGTTGCATCAGTGCAGCGGGCGATGGCCTCGTCTCAGGGGGCGGCGCTCTGGTGGACGCGCGACCACGACGGCCCAGAACGGGCGACGCTGCCGCCCGCGCGCCCCGACGCGGCGACTTTGAAATATGTAGGGTCGTTGGACGCCTTGGCGACGACACCAGGAGACGCCATCGGCCTGTCGCGAAACGGTGCCACGGTCATCAAGCGCGTTTCGGTGCTGGCGGTGAGACCTGGGGTCTACGCCGCGCCGTTCGAGCAGAGCTTCGGGGTGACGCGGGACGGCTTTCCCGTGGACGAGGAGCACGCGCCCAAGTTCGGGGTGTTCGACAAAAGCTGGGCCTGGGTCGGCGGCGCTGGGCGCGGGCCCGTCGGCTTCCTGCTGCACGAGGCCGCGGGTTTCGGGCCGCGCGGAACTCGACTCGCCGCCGGCCGAGAGTCTGTTTCGCCTCGAGAGTGTGTCTCGCTCCATGAGCTGGTGCGGCGAAGCATCGATTCGAGCGCCGCGCAGGCCTCGGCAACTTCGCGCATTTCTTTGCGGAGCTCGTTCATCGCGCAGAGGCCTTCCTGGAGCTAAAGCGGCAGGAGCCGCGGCTTCGGCTCGCGGTCTTCGCCGATTTCGGCCTAGCACCGTACCAGCGAGAGGCGCTGGCGGCCCTGGGGGTGCTGGACGACGAACTCGTGTCCATCGAGCACCCCATGCTTTTCGATGCCCTATACGTCCCCGGGCCCTGCTGTCCCGCGTACGGGGACGCGGCCTGCTCGCGCGCGACATGGGACCGGCTCCGGGCGGGCTTGGAGGTCGCTGACGCGCCGAAGAATCGGACGCGCCGCATCTACGTGCACCGTGTGGTAGGGCACCGCACGTTGCTGAACGAGGATGCGCTGACGGCAGTGTTTGAGCGGCGCGGCTTCGAGGTCGTTGACGTCGCGCCTCTCAGCCTCGCGGCCCGCGTCGAGCTCTTTCGCGGCGCGGCCGCGGTCGCCACGCCCATTGGCGCGGCGGCCTTCAACGCGCTCTTCCTTGCGCCGGGTACGCGCTTCTACCTCGTGGACGACCACCGACTGCCCGTTCGGCACTACTCGCCCTGGTGGCGGGCGTTCCTCCCCGGTTGGAGCGTGGACGTCCGCGTCCTCGCGTGCGCCGGCTCGCGCGCGTGGCCGGCCGGAGCGCCGCACGCCCGCTCGGGCTGGCCCACGCGCGTCGGCGTGGAGTACCCGCCCATCCACCTGCCCTGGATGCTTCCGCCGGACGTCGAGGCCTGCATCGGCGGCCTATTCGCCCCGGAGGACCCTGTGAGCTAAGCCGCTCGCGGCATTGGGCGTGCTGGACGGTGACCTGATATCCATCGGGCACCCCGCGTACTTCGGCGCCCCATCGACGACGCCGCCGCCCCGGAGTGCGCCGAAGCGCCCCAGGAGCGCGGTCGCGACGTGCTCGCGCCCTAACATAAAATTGCATTTTAGCTCAGGCTAGTGGGAGATACGAAAGGCGGCCAAGTGGACGGAAATTGCATTTACGGCAGTACAATATGTTTCCGGTAACGGGTTAGTGAGTTTAGACCACCTATCATCATCCAGCTAAATAAAACTGCTGGTTGTGGTGGTCCTCTCCCAGCTCGCCGCTTCCCCGGGGTCCGGGGTGGCGAGGCCAAGGCCGGAGACGCGGGCACGAGGATGGGCCGGCGCCTCAGGCGCCTGTGCGCACATCAGCGCCGCTGAATGCCATGACGGAGCGGTAGAAGCGTTCCTCGTCCTCAGCAGCCGTGAGGGAATTCGCGGGGTTCTGCTTGGACCGGACGTAGCGAAAGTGGAAGCAGCCCGAGTCGATGGCGTCGTAGACGAATCCGATGTGCAGGTATGTGTAGGTAGCAGGTTAGCTTCACAGGTAGTAGCGCTGTGGGAGCATGACCCAGATGAGGTGAACCATAGCACTGGCGTTATAGGCTAGGTTAAGGAGGAGGAGGATACGGGGGATTGGTATCCTAGGGGATGACGCTGGGGGAATTGGGTCATCTGTCGTCTCCCATCGTTGCCTTTCCAGCCCCCGGGCCTCTGCGCCCGCGGCCGTTAAGGTTTCGCCGCTCAGGGGTTGATTGGACGCAGATAAATTGTACCATCGGATGCGGCGGGCGACGGAGATCACGCTCGTCAAGGTTTTCCTGGACCAATCGACGCTCAGGACCGGCCCCGGGAGCCGCTGCCCCGCGAACGACGTCCAGACCGTGAGACACGCTTATTTTTATCACTCGGCAACGCCGAGGCAGCGCGTTTTGTTGAATAAATCCGATCATTGAACGTGTCAGTGGTTCCGCGGAGCACGAATTCTGGCATCTTTAATTGAAACTGAGCTCACCCTCCCCTTGAGGGAGGATTTTACTTTGCTTCCTTTAGCTCAGGCTAGTGGGAGATACGAAAGGCCAAGTGGACGGAAACTTCTAATGAGTGGTTTATTTGAAAGCGAGCGCAGCGAGCAACTTCAATCAAACGAGTGGCCGACGGCTCGCGAAGCGAGCCGGCTTGTTTGATCGAAAAGCCAACATCTCGACATTGAGTTCCCTAAAGTCCGCGAGCAGCGACGGCAGCGCGCGATGGTCGTCGAAGACGACGGCTTCGTCGACGTCGTACTCCGTCTCGGCGATGCGGACGATCATCGGCGCGCCCGGGGGCAGCGCGAGCGCGAGCGCCGCGACGGCGCCGAGCGCGCGCATATCAGAGATATATCAGGAGCACTGGCCGTCGCTCGGCTTCGTCGGCTGCGCGTCGGCGGACTGCGCGGCGGCGGGCCTCCTCGCGGAACTGAGGCGCAGACGCGTGACCATCGCCGACGACGCGCGCGGGTTGATCGTGAAGATCGCGGCCGTGGGCGAGATCCTCGTGCCGCGCGACGCCCGCGGCTCCCCGCCGACGGAAGGCGACGTGTCGACGGCGCTCCGCGCCTGGGGCGTCGACGGCGCGCGCGACGTCGCGGCCGCCGCGGCCGCCGCCGCCGCCGCGCGGCCGCCGACGACCGCCGACGCGGCGCTCCCGCCCTGGCCCGTCGACCGCGCCGCCGCGGGCGAGGACCGGCCCATGCCCGGCTGCCGCGCGCCCCACGTGGAGAATTGCCGGCGCTACGTCGCCATGCAGCGCAAATTCTACGACCCCGCGGCGCAGGAGCTCGTATCCGGGAACCACGTCATCCACAACGACGCCGCGGAGTACTGGGGCATGATCCTGAAGCCCGTCGTGCGGGACCCGCGCGTCTGGCGGGGGAAGCGCGCCCTCGACGTCGCCTGCGGCGGCGGCCGCAACGTGGCGAACCTGCTGCGCCTCGCGGCCTGGGACCGCGTCGACGGCTGCGATTTGGTGGCGCGGCACGTCGAGGGCGCGCTCGCCTTCGTCGGCCGCGACGGCTGGGACCGGTCCAAGTTCCATGCGTGGCAGTCGGCCGGCGCGGGGCTCGCGGCCACCGACGGCCGGGCCCCCGCGCCCGTCGACGAGTACGACTTCGTCATGTCGACGATCGCGCTGCAGCACATCTGCGTCTACGTCGTGCGCCGGGGCATCCTCGAGGACATCCTCGCGGCGCTGCGGCCCGGCGGCCTCGTGTCGCTCCAGATGGTGTACCGCGCCCCGCACGAGGCGCCGCTGGACCCGGCCAGACACGCGCCCTACGACGCGAACGTCTTCGACGCGAACGGCACGAACAGCGACCACGACGTCCGCGTCACGGACCTCGACCGCGTCGTCGAGGACCTCGAGGACATCGGCTTCGTCGACGTCGAGTACGAGGCCGGCGGCTGGCACCTCGGCTACGTCGTCTCCTACCCGGACCAGTGGCTCATCGTCTACGCGCGCAAGCCCGGGCCCGCGACGGAGCAGCGCGCGTAGAAAACAATCATAGTTATCAAAAATTAAAAAGGGTCGAACTACAATACCGCCGCCGCACAGTTTTGAAACTCAAAGTTAAAACTCGTTCCGGGGGTTTGTCTATTGTAGGGAATGGCGCTTGCCAATCACAGAGTGGGCTTCAAATGACTGAACAAAAGGAAAGTAGCCTTTTTGTCAAGCAAGATACTGATTGGCATCCTAATCTAACCAAAATCTTCTCATCGCAAGCGCCTTCTTCTCAGAATGAAGAATGTATGGATCAAAACTGTGGCTCCGCAGCGACATACGCACTACGACACTGGCGGTGTGGGGCGACAACACGCCGCTCCGAGCGGCGCCGCCGCAAAACCACGTCGCGCTGATGCTTCGGGTGTCTCGGTTAGTGCTGGGGACGTCGTCCGTAGAATTGTGGAGCGCGGGCCGCAGCAAATTTATTTCATAGGCCGCTATATGATTTGTGGATTCACGTTAGTGGTTAGACGGGGTTGAGCGGGTCCTTTTGTGCCGTTTAAAGGCGGAGAAAGGTGGGACATGAAGCCGGTGTGCATTCAGTGATCGGCCGAGCGACAGAAATAAACGAACCACGGCGTCGCCTTCTTCTCCAGTTAACAATGAGTCGAGCGCCGCGACTGTCGCTTGTGGCGCGGCGCGGCACTGCGACGCCAGTCTTGGCGGCGTGGAAGAGCTTCAAACCACGCCATGTTTATCTTTTGGATGCCATGTCAACGAGTGATAGAAACGCAAATGTGTCCGACAATGATTCTTTCTCCAGGAACGGACCCCGGAAGTGTGCTCGTCTTGCCGCGATGGCTTCGATCTCGGGAAGCTCGGCCCGATCTCCATCGTCGAAATCGATATTCCACAGCTTCATCCGCCGCACCTTTCCTCCCCATCGGTGCCTCACATCCGCATGCGTGGTCCTGGCGACGGTGGGGTGCTTCTCGTACATGGCGCGATTGCCGCAAGATACGTGGTCAAGGGAGCTCAGCAAGAGTGATGGTACTTCTCCATGCTGCCCGTATTCGTTCGCGGAGCAAAAGGCTTGCATGATCGCGATCGCCACGACGAACTCTCCATCCGAAACGAGTTCATCTTCACAGGCCGATACCCCCCGCGCGATCGAACGCGGGCCGACACGTTTGGTCCTCAAAGCACGGGCCGTCGGCGCAGGCGAACGCCGCGGGGCGCCGGGCCAGGACATCTTTCGCCGTCGCCGCGCCGCGGAGCGAGTACCGCCACCAGAGGTCGAGCGAAAGCATTTCGTCCGCGCGCCGTCTGTGCGAGGCCCACCAGCGCGCGAGCGCGGTCTCGGTCAGCGCCTCCCAATCGTCGACAAACGCGGCGCTGAGCTCGCGGCACGCGACATCGAGGTCCGAGCGTCTCACGACGGGCACCAAGGTTGTTTATGTCTCCAATGCCTGCACGCAAGATCACTGTCACAATCAGCCTTGGTTAAGCATGTGTCTCGCGCAAGTGTGATCGATGTTGAGATTGAGGCAATGTGCTTGGAAAGGCGAGCCTTGAGCTCGATTCGAACCTTCGCAAGGTGGGGGCTAGAAGCTAAATTGTGATACTCCACCCCAAGATCGCCAGAGTCATCTTCAGCGTGAAAATAAAGTTCCTCGGCGAGAATTGTCGTCAATGACACGCGCTGTGCTCCAACATTCGTGTAATTGAAAGGCACCCACGCCACGTAGCGCCAGCCCCTGACCCGAATACTGTATCCCATAGCCCTGAGCTTGCATCCCAAACTGAAGAGACTTGCAACTTGGGTATTCTGCGCGTGATGTAAGTCACCACAGCTCGGCCACTGCGAAAACGCGGCGGTCTTTGTTACAGTGCTGGGACTATTGATTTCTTTTAGTATGTGCCCGGCCCTTGCCACTGCGGCAGAATTTATGTCAGCGAGTTTAGGCAGGACATGATAAATACCGAGCGTATTCACTGGAGTTTTTGACGTCCTGCCCAGAGAATTGAGTTTCCAAGGCACCCGAATAAGGAGGGGTACCCTGGTGGCCCATTCCAACATGCTCATCTTTGAATATTGACCATGTTCGCCCAAACCGTGGCCATGGTCCGAATGAAAGATGATAATCGTTGAATTGAATAAGCCAAGACTCTTTATTGATGAGAGGATCATGCCAATGTGATGATCGACTTGCGAAATTGCAGCGTAGTATGCCTTACGCCAGCATCGCTGACCTGCCCTGGCCGGAAAGGTCTGTACGACATCTGCCCCCCATGGAAATCTTGGAGGTGGCATACCGAGACAATCATTAGAGGGTGCCAAAGTCGTGCGGTGCATTCCCATTCCAAATTCAAGAAGCGGTTGGTTCGGCCCTCGGTTTCCGTTGTGAGACGGCAAGTCAAGCAACGGTGTTTCTATCTTGTCGTACAAATCCCAGAAACGACGATGTACGACCCAAGGCAGGTGTGGTCGTCGAAATCCCACCATCACAAAGAAAGGTCGAGTTTCTTCTTTCAGCGACACGAGCTTGGAGCTTGTGTTCATAGCAAGCTTGCTATCTACAAGATCAGAGAGTGGCCCATCACGAACACAATATGAAGCTTGCTCTCGGCACGGGATATCGTCTTCAAATTGTGAAAGGTAATATGATGTCCACCCTTGTGCGTCGAGGTCATCCGACAACGCCGCCTGTTGCGGAAACAGTCATACTTAAGCCCCTTACTGGTGCACTGGTTGTGACAGTACTGTGGTGAAAGGTCTTTCCCGCCCCATGACAGATATATCCTTGATCCCGAAAGAGTTTTGGTAGCGGGACAATATATTTTGCGCGTAGAAGCTGGAATTGTTCCGAGTACATTCCTGTAGTATCTGGCCATCGGCCTGTCAACACTGCCGCACGCGCAGGTGCACAGAATGCAATGGTGCAGTACGCGCGTTCAAACGCGAGTGAATCCTTCGCTAACATATCAAGATGTTGGGTCGATGCCCGCTCATAGACACCGCGCATGTCATCTACGAGCAAGTAAAGGATGTTTCTCTTTGCACAACACCTAAACCGGAAGTAACAGAACGCGAACAATGCTACTGGTCGGCCGGAATTCATCGACGGGCCGCAAAGATAAGATAAAGCAGTTCTAGATTTCGTTAGATGCCCATCACCACTGCCGAAGCCCTCTTTGCCATCGATTTACGCAGATACATGTAGATCCCTTTTTCAAGTTCACTATACTATTGTACTAACGAGATAGTAAACTCCGACACGGGGAGGCAGCCTAATGGGGTTGCCCTGCCGTGTGAGGGTGAACTATCGAGGTTACGCAGTGGCGGTACACCGGCGTCTCTGTTATCCTCACGTCACCTCAGCTGCCGTAGTATACGGGGGACGGGGCTACTGGACGAACGGGCAGAGGATCTGCCTCACTAGGTCCATACAATATGTTTCCGGTAACGGGTTAGTGAGTTTAGACCACCTATCATCATCCAGCTAAATAAAACTGCTGGTCGTGGTGGTCCTCTCCCAGCTCGCCGCTTCCCCGGGGTCCGGGGTGGCGCGGCTATATTTTTTTGCCCGCCCACCACCCTCCTTCGGCACAAATGAAGCACCCGCCCTGCCCTACCCTCCTCCGTCCCCGCTGAGGTGGCTGCGCCATCCAAGCGCGGTCCGTCGGCCTTCATTCTGGCACCTTTACTTGAAACTGAGCTCAACCTCCCCTTGAGGGCCTTGAGGGAGGAGTTTACTTTGCTTCCTTTAGCTCAGGCTAGTGGGAGATACGAAAGGCCAAGTGGACGGAAACAGACTTGGAAGAAAAGCAGAAGTCATTTTTTGCGGACATTGCCCTACGTATACCCTCCTCCGTTGACGCACGATGAGGAATCCGCGCAAAGGGCAGCCGCTCCGATGACGGCGCGGGGCCTCCTCCTCCTCGCGACCTGGGCGCGCGCCGAGTGGTGCGCCGTCCAGATCGCCAACGTCTTCGGCGACGCGCCGCTCAGCGTCGAGTGGCGCCTCGACGCGGCGCCGGACGTCGTGGCGGCGGCGGCGGCGGCCGTCGTCGACGAGCTGCCCGCGTCTGCATGGCCGGCCGCCGTGGAGGCGGCGGTCCGGTCCACGATGGCGGCGCACCGCGCCAACGGCTGCGCCGGGTCGCCGGCGCCGCGGTGCGTCTTCGACGCCGCGGCCGATCGCTGCGGCGGCGTCGCGGAGAATCTCGCGGCCGCGGCGCCCTACGCGGCGACGAATCTCACGGAGACCCTCGCCCTGGCCTGCGCGAACTGCGACGTCGCGTGCGGCGGCGGCGTCGGCTGCGCGGTCGCGG